CGCTGTTATTCACTTGACCCAATTAGGATGCAAAAGTTCCGCTCAAGGTACGGGGATAAATGTCGACAACCCCCTGCAGATTTCTATGCAGCACGCTGTACATATAAGTAAGCCCAAATGAAGGGAATGGTGCTATGCGGGATTTCCCCGCCATCGTCGGTGAATTTAATGGGGATATCTCTCTTGCCTTTCGACGATGGCACGGAGGTTTTTGCTCGGAAGTTAGAAACAGATGCGCGAGAGGTGCGGCCTACGACGTACACAACTGTTCTATCAGTATCTTGAATTTGTTTTTTTCACCGCGCAAAAAGACCCTATGATAAAAAGATTTTCCAGGTTCAGTTTGCTAGATCCTGCGTTCACTTAGGACTGATCCTCCGGGACAGTCAGTTCAACGCCCAACTATGTCATTGGCATGTATTATCTATCAACTTGGAAAATACCTAATTATGGCATCAATACGGGATGACGCCGCCAGCGGACATGCGTGATTCAGTCCTCAGTCTCAAGTGCGTGAAACGGATTGTCTATCTCGAAGATAAATCTTTCAGAATGATCCTACCAGCGAGACCCTGTAATCACATTTTCGCTCATGGTATGTTCTTTTCGTTTCTACATAATAGAACGAGTTGACAGATTGACCTCTTGTTCGCGTTTGGTTTTTGTCAGGCCTCATTAGTGAACTGACAAGGATGCAAAGTCCATGTCAGACGCGTTCAGCAGAGCGCCATCGAGCCTGACCATCTCCTTAGCGCCTGCTGCAGCCGCCCGCCTCTTAAGATAAGGGCCTGTTAGCTGGGCCAGAAGGAGGCTAGTAGAGCAGAGTGAAAACTAGCAGCTTCGAGCTTACGAAAGCTCTTGTCAGGGGGCTGCCGCAACCCCTACTGCTTGTACTTCTCGTTCCGTTTAGAATGACTACTCATGAGTCTATGATATACTTACTACCGGACATGTTTAGTTGCATAAATCGGCGTTTTCCGGCTGTGGATTTAAACTTACCGGAACTGAACAGCCTCGGGCGGATCCGGGATCCGAAGGAACAACTTACGTCGGTCCGAGGGCCTGGTTCAGAACTCGGGTTGACCGGCAAAGTGGATATGTTTGATGTATCCGAGGTTTCGATGAGGTGCGCAACATGATCAACTTACAATGTTCTGATCAAGTTGAACGGCATCTGGCTAGATCAGAGGTTCGAGCGGGGATAGAACTAACAGGTAAAGTCTCGGCGACGCTAAGAGAATATTGGAATGAAACATTGATACTTTGTAGTTTCGGGGTCGAAGCTGCTCATCCCGCTTGCACTCCTCGTACCTTTTCTTCGTCCTTTCGGACCTTTCGGCTTTCAACATGGACGGCGTAGAACAACATTTGATTATTGGAACCGGTAAATATCAATGTTGACTGTGCTGATGATCACGGATCGAGAACTAGGGACTTCGTCCTCTTAGCTAGAATGTCACAAGTTCCAATATTAATGCGGTTTGACATCAGCGGCGTCTCCAAATTGCGAGCTCATCTGTGTTGAACTCCTGTCGATTCGTGCCTGCTCTTTGAGTGTCTTCAAGGCTACAAGCAGTACTAGTATTGCTTGACGAAGAGGGGCTTGTGATGTGTATGGACCTTAATTACGTAGCCAGGCGGCACACTCAGGAATACTCAAGTTCAGTTTTTGTTTATATTTCTGCTATGCTACATATGGACATTACTATTAAATATTGATTGTCGTAAAGCTTGTCGTCTGTCTGGTCCTGAGTGTGCCATACCATACCGTAAACTATATTCAGTACTTATCGAGTGGATCTACTAAGTAGGTCCCTCCCCATATTGTATACAATGCTCTTCTGCCGCAGAAAAGATCGACCAGGCACAAGCAGATCACGGAAGAGGCTCTCGGCTACTCGAAAGCCTATTGAGGTGAATGTACACATCCGTCCCGTACCCCTCCATAGATATCAATCTCAAATCACCTCCAAAATACCTCGCATACTGTCAAAGATACACATAAGCGCAAGCCCCCGATAAACGCGCACGTCACTCACCAGTCTCGATAGTGGCAGTCCATACCCAAACCCTGCCATCGGCGCCTGAAAATCGCTAGCCTGAAAATCTTGATCAATGCTCTGTCCCGTCATAGTCGTATACATGTATGTCCAAATTAGGGGAATGGCGCTGCGCGGGATTCCCCCGCCCTCGTCGGAGATTTTGATAGTGATGTCCTCCTTGCCCTCAACAACGATGACTTTGATAGGCGGGTATGGTTTATCATCTCGTGCATCGTGGCCGAAGCGGTCGACGACAGCACGGAGGGAATTTTTGAGGAGTTCAAAACAGATATGGGAGAGATGGCCTGGGACATAAGGGAAGATGAGGTTGGGAGGGCATATGAGTTGAACAGGAGGGCCTTTGAACATGGCGTAATGTTCCTCGCAGACGAAGCGGGCATTTTCGATAGCTTCCTGTACGATATCATGTACATTCTATGGCGAAGGAGGGGTGTTAGTGGATGGGGAAAGACAGAGAACGGCAACGTACAGCTTTAGTGCAGATGATGCCTACATAGTCTTTGTGTGGCTGTTGCGTGTTTAGTGCGACGTCTAAGGAAAAACAAAGGAGATGAGATAATGATAACGAAGAGAGCTAGGAACAACTGACGTTGGCCGATCAAGAAGCGGATGCCAATACGACTCATGTAGAATCTATCAAGCCAAGCCTGTATATCAAGGCCAATGTTCTTTGCGTTCTGACTGCGCTTCCATTCTAGGACACCCTGTGCGACCGTTGTGACTGTAGGGTCGTGCCTGCGTTTGATGGCCTCAAGCATGCGGGTGAAACGAGCATTGTAATCGAGGACGGAGGGTGGCCAGTCGATGGATGATGACTTTGCGTAATATCTTGTACTAAGTGAGCATGGTATGCGTGGATTATTGGAAATTAAGAGAGCACATACCTGCGTTCCAAAGGGACCCTGAGCTTGACGTTACCGATGCCGTTCGCATTGCCCTTGAGACGGGATAAGTTGAAGAGAGGGTGATCGTGGTCCTGCGGGGCGGCAAGGCTTGGGTTTGGGGTGCTGTCAGGCAAGAAGATATCCTGGCCCGTCGAGGATAGCTGCTGGCGAAGGTGTTGTGGGAGTTGAACTGGAGGAAAGTTGATAAGTTCCTGTGTAAGATCCGGTGAGGAGAAGAGGAGATGAACGAAGATGGACTACGGCGGACCTCAAATGACTGGGCATACCAGTTCTTGACCTTTCGTATGGAAGGCATGTCACTAAGGTTATGGGGAAGCTCATCGAGTTCCTTGACACGGTGCGCAAGGCGGACAGGCAGCTCTTCTGAAGGGGTGGACATGATGATGTCAGAATGAGTTGAAACCTTATAACGATTAAGTTACCTGCAAGGAACTGACTCGCCTTGAGGAGAGTTCCCTGACTTGGATGTTGACCAAAGAGTACCATCTGCTGTAGCGAGACTGTAGATTATGACAATTAGAGATCCGGGGCAATGGGTTGGGTTATGAGGATATCAGATGACATACCGCCCGTCTGGGGAAAGCTTGCAAAGTGGTGAATCTTGTCCCATAAGGCTGGAGAGATTCGAAAAGCAGCAGACATGGCATCGACAAGTGTTCAAGTGAGTTGAAGGGTTTGTTGTAGCAGACTACTTATATATTATGTACTGTGGATTATGGATATGATTCATTCCTCGGTCTTTAAATCATCCGCATTGTTTGCACGTGAATTTCATTTCAGATCTAGTCATAGTCCTCCACTCACAAGTACAGCTTTACATCGTCAGTTGGGCACTAGTGGATTTAGTGCGTGAACTCGTGTGAGCTCTCCTACTATTATCTTTGTGTGCGCGTCTATCGCGTGACGTGGACCACCACCACGTCCAAACCGTGGCGATCTTCCTTTCTCGTGATGATATTCTTCCTTCAACTTTCATCGCTCTGAACGAGTGAAAAAGCCATACTGTTCCAGAATAAGGGAGACAGAAGGTTCGTTTTGATATATGTACTAAGAGATGGAAATTGCTCACGACGTGTCGAAATTTTCGACAGCTGGGGGTCATTTTGGGGTCCTTGCCTAACCCACGATGACTTCACCAGCCAACCGAATTCCTCAACAAACTAATTCCAGCCTGCTCACATGCTCTCATATGCTGCGTTATCTGTTCCGACTTAAGTTCCGCACTACCTCGGACCAGCCCTAGAACGCAAGGTGCCCACGTTTGGAATTCGGTACAAGCTCTTATCTCCGAACTTAAGATCTAGGGAACCCCGCACTAGGCTGTCAGAAACTGTCGTGCGTTGCTACAATGTTTGGTCATTATTGTTCCCGTCACTCACTTTCCGGGGCAAGTACGTTGGAAACTGCTGCCAGGAAGTGCCAGGTTGGCTGTTATGAGGTAGCACCGTGGAATCTGAATCGTCACCTGTCATCTCATACACCGAAATGCACCGAAACAATATTCATTCCGCATTCGGGTTCACGAGCTCATGCGGACCGGCGATGATCTCATCGCCAGTACAGCACATGACCTGCAAAAGAGATCCAGAACATATGTCTTTGTTGCACTGCAGGGCCCGGCACATCATCTGACATCAACCAATAAACCCTATCAAACCAGGCACAGCTAGGCACCTTCGCCCAAGCATATAATCATCTTTGCATTCTGTCGTCACAGGATCCCCGACCCCCGATAGGTTGTCACGGATGTCGTCCAGTGCTTGGCCTCCGTCCCGACGCGCCTTAGACTGGTGACCAGGCCGGACCAGCCCGTTTATGGGGCAAGCTATTCTATACGAGTAGCTAATGTTCTTATCGTTCATAAGATCCGTAAGATAAACCGTACCACCGCAGCTCAGAAGGCGGTCCGATCTTCAAAAAGACATACCCCGAGAGCGATTGGTTCTGTACATCATATATCAATTCCAAGTAGTAAATGCCTAGACGACGAGCTTGAATTTTAAATAATCAATTCCAATGAGGATTCAATCCATCAAAACATCAAATTTCAAAGCCATCTTTACTCGATCAATTGTGGCACCGACACGAACTAGAACTTTCTCGAGATCAAGATTAATATCGCTAGCGTTATGTATATCCACAGTAAATGTCAAGTTCAAACAATTGTCTGATGACATGAAACCTGCATCACCCACAACATCGAAAACTGTTTGTCGAGTCTACATTAGTGTTGGCAGTAGCTTAGGCTGATGCATCGTGTGCGAATAAAGCTGGCTGAGCGGAAGCAAACTGTTCGTTCTGAGGATCCCACATGATAGACAGATCACGAGACGACATACCGTGCTCTCCATCCCAGACATCCAGTCTTTCTGCATCCTCTTCCCCTGATCATAAATAACCTTAAGATTGTCGATTGTCGACTCGCAGGCTGTCTTTTCTGCCTTCAACATAGAGATTTGGTCTCGCGCTTGAGTCAGACTATCCCGAAGGCCATTAGAAGTGGACTGCTCTGCTACGAGCAAATTCTCCGAGTGCGCTAAATCGTCATTGAATTTCTTCAAAGCAGTGAGAGCAGTCTGCATGGCCTCGCTCGTACTGTGAAGGTTCAATCTAAGATTTTCGATTTCACCTTCCAGAGCTGCAATTTTGTCGGCAAAACCCAACGCTTCGTCATCGCGCAGAATTTGAAGCCCATCAATTTTCTTGAGGAGCCCAAGAATGGTAGACTGCGTCTTCACTCGTTCAACTCGTGAAGCATTTTTCATGGCTGCAGCGGCATCCTCCATGGACTGCCTCGTCGCATCTGCGGTGAGCAATTTTGACGACAATCCTGCCTCCCTCATCTCAGAAGACGTAATCCTGCTCTTCAACTCTTCAATCTCCTTCCTGGACTCCTCTAGAGCCAGCTGAAGCTGACCGTTGAATCTAAGGACTTCCGCATATTCAGCATCGAGGGTCAATGCGGTGCTGTTGGCTTCAGAGAGCTGTTTCTCGAGCTCCTTGGTAGCCTCAGTCAGCTCCTGGGTGAGCACAGCTCCATGCATGGCTTCGCTCTGCGCAACACTCAAGGCTTGGGCGAGTTCTCCTCGTCTTTCCTCTGTGGTTCGTATGAGTTCCAGCATCCGCTCTTGAAGGGTTTCTTCTTCTCTATGAGAACTAGCGAGCTCATCCGTCAAGCGCCTATTCTCGCTTCGCGCAGCAGTCATTTCGTTCTCCATTCCCTGCAGCCCAGCAAGAATCTCGTTCTTGCTGCGCAAAAGCATCTCGGTCTCCAAGGAGAATGCTTTTAATGAGGCTTCTTTCTGAGCGAGCATCTCATTGAGCTGGAAGACAGCACTCTCGTGCTCGAGAATTTTATTTTGGAGTTGCGTGATATTGCGATCGCGATCAACGAGGCATTGTTGCAGGTCGCGCTTGCCAGATTCAAGTTCATTTGTTTCGCCCTCAAGGTCAGCTACATGTGACTTGTAGCCATCAGCGATGCCTGTCAGGGTTTCAAGCTCGCTCTGAAGGCGGGTAACTGTGTCTTTGAGAGTCTGGATCTCTGTCACGTGTTTCGCGTTTTCCTTCTCCATAGCATCAATCTGTATGGAGCGTCAATACAATTAAGTAGATAGACAAGGTCATATGGTGAGCTTACTGTGCTCGCCAAAGCGGGCCAGTGTTGTTCAGTTGTCTGCGAAGCCCTACGGTCTGGCAGAGATTCAGGGGTGCGAAAATGTTCGTGTTGCTGGTCCGCAAACACGTCTTCATCGTCTCGATACCTGCGAACGTGTTCATCACCAGGAGAGCTTGGTGCAGGAGTGGGCCGCATAGAGATGTCGTGAATGATAGAGCCTGATTGGGTCCGCATCACACCTGCACCTTGCGGCGTTTCAGCGTGTGGGGTCTGCACATCACTTCAAAGTGTATTGATAACTGATGGAGCAGGTGTTCAATGAAAGCACTTACAATGTTGGCGCTGGAACTTCTCCATACACGTCATCCTGAAATTCCTGTTCATCCAACTCTGTCAATTCTTCTTCGCGCATGATCTCATGCGCCCTTTCAGCGGATACTTTCAGCATGTTGAGTTCATCTTGGATGTCATGTAGTTGTTCATCGCGGTCCGCAAGTTGCGCCTTCAGTTGTTGATACGTAAGATTTGCCTGCTGGAGCTCTCGGACCTTAGTTTGAAGCTACGTGTCATGGTGAGGTCTAAGTTAAAACCCTTGTTAACGTCAAACAAACCTCTGCCTTTGTCATTTTTGTCAAGGTCCGCTCGTGGGGTTTGACGGGAGACGGTGCTCGTCGCTGTCTCTTCGCCCTAGGACTTCCACGTGCGGAAGCACTATCTTCCTCGACTTCTTCCCCGCCAAAAACTGTCCTTAAATGAGATGCAGATCTCGCGCGCTGCCGTTTATACACTGACGGGGAGAAATGTTCGGTGACATTTTTCCACACAGCATCCTCTTGCGCAGGTGATGCATCCCCAGCGGCAGTCGGAAGGAACTTGCGGCGAGCGTATGAGAGGCTAAAAAGAATTATGTTCGGCGTTAAAATGATTTTAGCAGCTGGGCTTACACTTTTTTCCCCTCCGGAGTCATGCCCACATACCCACTGGAGTCGATAGGCTGCAAAACTCCCTGCTCTTCCTGCTCTCTTAAAATCAATAAATTTTAAAACACTTAAACCATTCAGGCGTACAAGCTTCTTCACAGCCTTTCCTACCCATGATGCCCACTGAGGACCTAGTTTATCTTTCCTATCTTTCGCGGTCTTTCTCACTAGTAACAGAGAGGTGATGAGCAACAATCCCTTTGCAGGTATGGACACTCACCATGTGCACGAAGGGTACCAAGGTGTACACTGTGCCTCCTGTGCTCTTTCTGTGCCTGTGAAAATGCACTGAGAACCCCTAGATTGGGAGTCGTTAGTATCAGTGATGCCCTTTGCAATCCCCCAAAACGCGCGTTAAAAGAGGTTGAAAATTTTGCTCACGTTCTGCATACGTATACTTGGACGTCTTTTTGGTTTTAGAGGTGACCATAGTGGTGGTACTGAAAATTTAGCTTTGTTCAGTGGTAAGGATGGTGGTAGATCGAGTTGAGGTAAACAGGGGCGCGTTTTCTAATTTTCGCCTGGGAAAAACCACTTGACTAATGGGGGCGCGCCCGAGCACGTGCTACACGTGACTGGAGATGTGACTCGTTGCACCTTTCACCGCAGCGGAAGCAACCTTTTTGAACATGTGAAAGGCACTAGAAAGGCATGGCAAATGATGTGTGTGGAGAGAAACTAAAGACAAAGTCTAAAGGTGAAATACAATGAGATGTAGTGCTGCCATGGTCTGGTTTGATCCGGTTTGGAGGGTCCTAGGTGAGAATCGAAGAACTGAACCATGGTCCGGTTCTGCAAAATTGTCAAACCCAGAACTGGACCGTCAAGAACCATTCTCAATGGTCCAGTTCGGTTTTTTTGTAGTCTGAACCTGAACCAAACCAAAAGAGAGGGAATAAACTCATGATCTCCAAGTTGCACAAGTGACCTGAAAACTTGATAAGAATAATCCACCACTTTTCTCTGTCTGATTGCTCCAATTAGCCAAGTCCAAACATACACACAACTCTGCAGCATTTGAGCGCTTAATACATACATACATACATACAATAATCATAAACTGTGATCATGAATTTATCTGGCAAATGCAACAGCAGATTCATCAGATGGAGATCCAAAATGTGATGGTGAAGCAGAACTGCAACTCTGCACTGTTCCGGCACTGTCCTCAGGTCTGGGGTATGTAGCCAAATTCATAGCAACTTCACTGGTCCACTCCAAGATACCCCAATGGACTTTAAGCCTGTCAAATAAAGCAGTAGTTTCTTCAAGAGTGTGAACTGAAGAAGAAAAAATAGGTCACAATAGCTTGACAAAGTGAAGAGATAAACAATTACCTCTCATCTCAATAATATACACCATCATGAATAGGAGTTCCAAGATAAGCCTGCCACAGTAAAAGAGGTACTGTAAAAAAAAGGTCAATAGATCACATGAATGAGATTTGACAATGTACATATTTCCATCCTATGGTGTTTAGTGCCATAGGATTGATGAGTGAGTTAAAAGTGTTGGTCAAATAGAGAGCCATATTCTGTATGCGACATTAGGTGGCATTTGAAGACAGAACAAAGGCGACCAACCATGATTGCAATCTTCCTTCCTCCTAGTTTGTCCACCACCATCATGTCCACCAGCGCACTGACTATATTGAAAATCTGAACATGTGAAATGCACATCAATTTTGAGTTCTGCTTGCAAGAGATCATAGATGAACCTACAGACCACTGTTCAAAAAGTAAGGCTGCAGATCCGTTAGCGATATCCAACAAAAGTTTGTGACTTATCCTCACTAATAAACCACACCAGGGAACAACTCTGCCTCAGAAATACCAAGGCAGATTCGCACTCCAATAAACTGAGGGTACCTGAAGTGTAAGGTTAATATCAAGTCAAAAAGTTCAGAACAATTTGAATGAGACAGTTGATAGGAAGACGGATTTTGCCAGTGACAAAAAGGACACACACACATAATTGTACAGCCTGACTCAGATGAGATTTTTTTAAAAAAAAAAGTCAGATGCACACACCTGTACTACCATTGAACACACAACACTCCGAGACCAGAGGGAGAAGGCTATCACAGACTGGATAGTCAGTGTACTAGTAGGAATGAGAGAGGTGAAGGAATGGATGTGCACTGTGTTGTTATAGCAGCAAAGCCCCAAACCTAAAAACATGTATGCAACATGTTCATTTTTCATTCATTGAACAAATCACCGAGTGTTAAGTGTCAAAACATGAAATTTGAAACCCAGTGCACAACATGCGCATTTGTAATTTACATCAAACAAATCATTGAGTGCCAAGTGCCGAGGCCTGAAACCCAAAGTCTGAGGCCCAAACCCCCCAAAAATGTATACAACATATCCATTTTTCACTCATTGCACAAATCACTGAGTGTCAAGTGCCGAAACTTGAAACTTGAAACCCAGCACACAAATCACCAAGTGCTGAGTGCTGAGGGCTGAGGGACAGAACCTGGAGTCTGAAGCCTGAAACCCGAAAACATGTATGCAACATGTTCATTTTCCACTCATTGTACAAATCACCACGTGCTGAGTGCCAAAGTCTGAAGCCCCAAACCCAAAGCCCAATGTAGGGAATCATTTTCAGATGGGCTTACATTGTCAGCTTTTTTATAGTTTCACTTACCTTCACTTTGCTTTCCTTATGTTCGCATTTATATTACTTACATAATCACCAAATCTTCGCCCTATTCCTCCACCATTAGCTAGACTTTCAGTTATATTTCTGGTAGCTCTCCTTTCTAGGATTCAGCAGCTTCCCCAGATTTGCAGCTTATTAGTTTTCATAGTAGCTCAATAGCTCACTATAAAGCTTCTGATACACCGTCTTGTCCTCATTGTCTGGAGTGACATTTTCATATACTCTCTCTCTCTCTCTCTCTCTCTCTCACACACACACACATACTCTCTCTCTCTCTGCCTCTCTTGAGCACTGAGCTTAGTCCAGAAGCCCTTGGGTCAAATAGCAGCTAGGCAGCATTCACCCAACAAATTGTTCTGCATCCCAGCAGAATTGTTGAACCCTTCACTGAAAACATGTATGCAACATATCCATTTTTCACTCATTGCACAAATCACCAAGTGTCAAGTGCTGAAACCCAAAACTCAAAACCTGGTGTGCAACATGCCCATTTTTCATTTACATTAAACAAATCATCAAGTGCCAAGTGCCGAGGCCTGAGACCCAAAACCCAGAGCCCAAAACCCAAAAACATATATACAACATATCCATTTTTCACTCATTGCACAATTCACTGAGTGTCAAATGCTGAAACATGAAACTCAAAACCAGGTGTGCAACATGCCCATATTTCATTTACATTAAACAAATAATTGAGTGCCGATTGGTGAGGCCTGAAACCTGAAGCCCCAAACCCGAAAACATGTATGTAACATGTCCATTTTTCACTTATGGCACAAATCACTGAGTGTCGAGTGCCGAAACTCAAAACCCAGTACTATAAATGGACATGAATTCTGTATTTGTATGTATTATCCATTGATATAGGGTTCAAATCATTTGGGAATTGTATTGACTACCAAGTGTCAGGAATCGGGACTCACTAGTCAATATAGGCAAATAATAATAAAAAAATAAAAGTTGTTATCATCCTTAACTTTCTTAACAGAGGTTGTAGTCCGAGTTTAGGTAAGTGTATTGGTAGTCTTTTCTTATTCATCGGTTATCATTTGACCGAGATATAAACTAAAGAAATCCAAAACATCAGTAATAATGAAAGTGAAAGTTGTAGTCTGAGTCCAGGTGAGTGTATTGGTAGTCTTTTCTTGTCAATTGGTTATCTTGGTACTTGGTTCAGATATCTGGGAATCAGTAGTCAGGTACTCAGTTCTGATACTCAGTACCTGGAAATCAATAGATGGGTACTCTCTACCACAGCAATCAATAGTCAGGTATTCCAGCCAACAGTCCTAAGTCCTGAGTACTGATACTTGGTATTCAGTAGTTGAGTTTGGAACTCAGATTTTGATTTGGTTATCATTTGACTGAGATGTTGGTAGGCAATATTGGCACTCAGAGCTTGAATACTGACTACAAACTATTGAGTGTCAGGACTTGGTAGTTAGTAGCTGAGACTCGGTACTTAAATGGATAGCATATATACATAAAAATACAAAATATGTTCCTATGTGTTTATTTTTAGGTGAATAGACTGAAATTATATTCCCATCATCTATTCAGCAATAGAGACAATGTATCAGGAGCTCAGGACCATAGGGTCATCCTTTATTGCATAGTGTACATTCCTCTCTTCTGGTGGTTCACCCTATGAGTATTTTTTCTGTGTAGGACCAGACCTTGAGAACTGTAGGAAGTCTATTCCTGAGCATATTTGTAGTAGATATATCATATAGCCAGCCCAGGACCCACAAGATCCTTCTCCAGGAACAAAGCATAGACCATTGCACTTTTGATATTTTTCATGATTTTCAGTATCTTGCCCTTGCATCAATGATCCAACCTTTTAATATATAATGAGCATAGCTTATATTCTTGCCTCTTATGACCAAGATTAGCTCACAACAGGCTGGAGTTTGTGAGCTAGTGTGCATACTTGCCATTTCTCCTGGTAAGGGGCCCATACCTTCAAAATATTAAATTTTCATAATTGGAAACCTGGAGTACATTTAAAATGTATTAAGTATCATAGATATAAATTCACAGACAAATCCACCAAGAATTGAGTACTGAGGAAGTGAAATAGATAAGAAATTGAGTGTGGGAAACTTCAAAGACTCAAAGCATTGAGTTAAGCAATAATAGGACTTGAATGCTGAGTTAACTCATATTTTCACTATATATCCCTTCCACCCACCCCCTACCCTCAAGGCAGTAGGCAGTATGGGTTCCTTAGGTAGTTCACAATCTATCCTACATATTTTTAATGAAATCTTTGGCCTGAATCATCTATAAATGTGACTTTGTAAAAAGATATCTATTGTCACATTTTACACATATGCCTGTCATTACATCAATCCTTCATGAATCTTTCTAAGCTTTTAGGGCTATTATAATGGACATATATGGGTGTTATTCCAGGTATCTAATCCCATCACAGGCTTGTCATGTTGGATATCTCAACATAATGTACAAGTCTCACTATTAATATTCATTCTTTTATCTTTATGCTCACTTACTGCACACATGTACAAATACACACCTCATCTTTACATAATTGCTAACATGCCAGACAGATATATAATCCTCATACCTGCATCATCCTACCTCAGTCTATTTGTTCTTAGACTGACATATGCCTATAAATTCATTATCGTGCTTGACACTCGCTAATGTCTACCATAGTCTTCAAATAATCCCCAATTGACAAGAAAAGACTACACACTCACCTAGACTTGGACTACAACTTTCATTTTTTCATTATCACTGAGGCAGTGATTTGACAACATCAACACTAAGTCCTGAGTCCTGATGTAGGAAACTAATCTCTGCTGGGCTCAGCAGAAATGTTACTACCTAGACAACAATATTTAGGTAGATCATCAGCACGACCTATGCTGCTATACTTGCAAGGCAAGTGCATTTGATCCTAAAGAGGTTGCTATATGGTGTTAGTAGTATAGATGTGTCAGTAATGCAAATAATGATTGTCTGAAGCTACTAAATGATGTCTGATGGTAATTCGATGATGTCTGAGGGTACTTATCTGATGTATAAAGGTATTCTATTGATGTCCAATGCCAAAGCACAATGTCTGAGATTTCGGACTTTCGGACTTCACAAAAATAGGTTGGAAACTACAAAACAAGTGTTGGATTGCTAGTGGTATTGTGAGTATAATGAATGACAAAGTGTGATGGTGAATGAATGGTAATATTTTACAATGCCAACTAAGAACTACGAGAATATTCTGAGAGATTTGCAGTTTTGGAGAACAACTCCCCTCTACTGAATGATGATCTACTACAAGTCACTACAGAGTATTTAAGTAAGTATGTCAAAATCCAGAATACTATAGGCGAAGATAGTTTCAATATTTCAGATCTGAGAATCTAGGTAATAAAACACGAGGTGCTGTGGACATGTAATAATGTGGTCCAAATGTTAGAAAACATGAAAGCAAGTAGCTATACACCTAGTGGGGCTAGTTCAGAGGGACAGGACACAGGATGGACAAGTGCACATGAAGTGCAATCAGCTGATACAATGTCTGAAGGTCCGATGTGGAGTGGCTCAGAGTGTGCTGGACGTGTGTGGATATGTTTCGGATGTTGACATGAGTATGAAAATCAGTGGTTCCAAGCCCAGTGCTGCAACCATCACTACACTGAGTACCAACACTTGGTAGGACCACCAATACACTCACATAGACCTGTACTACAACTTTCATTTTTCATTATTGCCAATGTTTTGGATTTCTTTAGCTTATATCTCGGTCAAACAATAACTGATGGACAAGAAAAGATTACCAATACACTCACCTAAACTCGGACTACAACCTCTGTTAAGAAAGTTAAGGATGATAACAACTTCCATTTTTGTATTATCATTTTCCTATATTGACTAGCAAGTCCCTAGTCCTGACACTCAGTAGTCAATACAATTCCCAAATTACTGGAACACTACATCAATGGATAATACATACAAATACAGAACTCATTTCCAGTTGTAGCTACTGAGTTTTGAGTTTTGGGTTTTGGCACTTGACACTTGGTGAATTGTTCAATGAGTGAAAAATGGACATGTTGTATACATGTTTTTGGGTTTTGGGTTTTGTGTTCTGGGCTTCAGGCTTTGTGTTTTGGCCCTTAGCACTTGGTGAGTTGTGTACTGGGTCTCGAGTTTTGTGTTTTGGCACTTGACAGTCAGTGATTTGTGCAATGAGTGAAAAATGGATATGTTGTATACATGTTTTTAGGTTCTGGGCTTCAGGTTTTGGGCCTTGGCACTTGGCACTTGATGATCTGTTTAACGTAAATAAAAAATGGGCATGTTGCACACTGGGTTTTGAGTTTCGGGTTTTGGCACTCAACAC